TATTGCCATGCTTCCAAGTCCAACCACCTCTGCCAGTTTGCTCCTTACTGGTGGGGGCAACCCCATCTGTAGTTTAGCTCGCAAAATTGACCGCTCCATTTGACTCGCCTCTGGATCATTTCCTGTGATATTTCTCCACACCTGATGAGCTCTCGACACATAGGCTCTCGGATTCTCTTCTTTTCCCAATGAATCAATCAAGATATTGTCAGGATGCACATTTGTGGGAAACGTGTCTTTCAGTGCTCTCCACAGTCGATTCCTACTTGCAGCGAACAACTCCGGATCATTTACAGCAGTCCCCACATATCGATTAAGTCCCGCTCTCTGAAAAATCTCTTCCATACCTGGAATCCCCAGGAGATTAGCAAAAAGTCTCTTAATATCTCCTATGGCAGTTTGTGTTCCTACCGTAATTTCTTCCAACTTCGAGATCCAAGGATGTGCTCCATCTTGAAGAATAGGCAACTTCTCAAGTATATCTGACATATCGGTATTCTGCAAAGGCTTATACTCCAGATTCTGTCCTCGGATTATCACTGGCAGCATCTTCTTACTTGTGCTCCCTTTCCTTGGGCGTAATGCATACTTCTTCTCCAATTTTTGAGACCCTTTTTTCCTCAATTTCTCCCTCTGTATTGTCAGCTTCTCGAGATGTTCTTCCAATTCTCTTATTTCTTCTGGATAAGTCGACTTCTCCAAGCATGATATGCATCGATCCATGTCTTTTTCTATTTCTTCAGTAGTCATTGGAGGATAAAATCCTCTTGAACATGAAGCACCTTTAATCTCCCACTCTTCATCGCTGTCTCCATCTTCACTTTCATCGGAGATCTGATCTCCTGTATCCTTCTTCTTCCAACTTTCATCACCCCTTCTTTCCGCTCTGGCCAGCCTCCGTCTGATCACAGGATCATATCCACCCATGATCTCTTCTACATCACTCTGTTCATCATCATCTTCCATTCTCCTAAACCTCGCTCTACCCTTAGTTTCCAAACGTGTCATTTTCTTCTTACTTTTGGAGCTTGGAGTCATCTTTATAGTTGTTTCTGCTTGTCCTCTCTCTATGATTCGTTCATCTTCATCTCTGATGCAATAACCACCCTCCTGAATGATCACTGGAAGTTGAGGATAGACATCCTTAAACTCCGCTTCCTCCTCGTATGGTGGAGGTCTCTTTGCTGAATCCGTATGTGAGAAGGGTTTGTTGACTTCTGCCATTAATTTTTCTCTGTTATCTTTGCCTCTTTTGCCATTTTTTCTCCACACCACTGTCCCTTTTCTCTTGCGTCTCTTTCATCAGTTTTTGACCTTCATGTTCGAACAACTTAAGAACACCCAGCTCTCTTCGTCTCTTCTCTTTACGTCGTTCCCCTTTTTTCCCCTTGTTTTGATCCGACTTATATGTGGACACAAGTACTTGCATTATTTTAAGTACACCTGGGTTAAGAGTCCCTTCCACAGGCCATGGTTGTTCAATATTAGGCCAACGCTTATGCCATTTTTCAGATAACTTTACAATACCATCAACTAGAGGATTATTTTTTTGCACTACATCAACCGGAGTAGTTACTTTCAACGTTTTAATGTCCTTTTTCCGCATAGTGACAACTTTTTATATTTCTTTATTGTAAATTATTTTCCTTATTACTTATTTGTTTATTTTTCTTTTAATTCTACTTAATTGTTGATAGGTGGCAATCTTACCACATCCGCTAATGGAAAATCAAGGGAATTTGTCAACTCCAGAGCAATCACAAAAATCTTGTTATCCAGCAATCACACGGCGCCAACTCCTACCTAATAAGCACCCTCTCACCTTAGTTTTGTCCCAAAAGCTCAATACCACTCAATTCCCAACACAACTTGACTTCAAACGACCCCTGCACAAAAACTCCCATATGTAATATTCAAATACAGTAACTGATCAGTCTGTTGCCAAGTCTCCCCTTAGATAGTCATAACATGAAATATGGCAGGCATACACAAATAGACTCTCTGTGTTACAAATGTGTCTATAATATCCTGAAAGGAAACAAACTAAATGTGTAATAATTATAAATGAGTATAGACACATATGCACAGGTGTTTGTAAAGAGTTTGTGGATTGCACAATACTGGCCAGACTGGATCCGGGGCTGCTTTGCTGTGGCGCCTGGACGGCACCCCCTCTCTCCTTCTCTCTCTCTCTCCTTCTTGTCTCTCAGTCCACAGGAGAACAAAAACCCAAAAAAAGGCAAACAACACTTTAGTCCTTTTATGTACTCACAAGGTTATTTCCCCCCAAAATAAGAGTGTCACCTCTCTGAGTAATCATAATCTATTTTCCCTAACTTTTTAACATATCTACGTTAACATGCAAGCTAAGGAATTTCGGTGTCATTTACACTGGGGATGCTGGGGACACTACTCTTCACTCCTATTTAAAGCTTACTCTATTAACAACCGTTCTTCAATACCAATGAAAATGCCTTTTAAAATGTATTTACACACATAAAAAACCCCAAATGAAAGTAAGTAAAATATAGAAAAACAAATGCGCACTTCCCAAAAAAGTAACTTAGGCTAAGAAAAACCCCACTGCTGCTTCTGAAATGACCCAAACCATACAGCAGCATTAATCAATAACTTTAACAAATTTCAAAACACAGTTTTCCCCTTGATCAAGTTCCCTTCTCTATTTCTTATTCATATATATGTATATTCTCTTCCTTCTTTATTTATTTATTCTATTATTCATATATGTCTTCTTGAATCCTAGCCTTATTGTCCTCTGCATAGTCTCTCTCACACACACTAGGCTTCTCCTATTTCTCACACACACAACCGAGACACAGCAGGGCAGCTCTCCACACACACACACACACACGGTAGCTATCCAGTCAACAAGAATGCATTCTTCACACTGTTTATAAAGCATGCTTCCGCCGCACCTTTTTCCTTTATTATTTTCCTTCCTAAATTTGTGCTACCTCGAGTTTGCAGATATTTAATGAGAGGCCACTTCGGACATAGTTCGTCAACACATGTATCGAGAGGTAACTTACAATTAAATTTTTCTTCTACAAGCTCCCAGTTCCTTTGAACGGACCCGAAAATTCACCTAGTTCCTTTCCAGGATTTGCGGCCCATCTAAGATCGCCTTTCAAGGGCTTTTTGTCCAGATCTGCGGCGTCCTAATCCTTATTTTCCTTTTTCCTTAACCTTATATTTTCTTCCTTATATTAATTTGTATTCAAGCCGAATGACCCTGGCCAGGGTTGCACTCTCTCTCTTTTTCCCTTACTCCAATTTACCTATTCCTTAAAGCCTAGTTTCACGCGACAGTAATTTCCATCCCACATGACTTACGGTTATAAGAATCTGAGGGCCCATATTCTTAATCTTTGCAAAGTTATGAAACCTCACTTCCCGTTACTCCTAGGCTGTTCCTTTTTCTTCCTTTTATATCTATCTATCTGTCTTCATTACATTCACACACACAACCTTTTTGCGTTATCCACAATGCACACAAAATTTAGAACGGAGTCTTCTCACACATCCACCCGCAAGCATTCACACGGGATCGAACCGGTGTCCCTTCAACGCACACACAGACACACGAACTGACCAGCGCCCACAGTTTATGAGAAAACTCACCCTATACGCTAGCTTCTGGAGCGGGAGTCAGCTCGATGGAGCCTGTGATGGAACGATGAATTCTGGCACAACACGGTCCCTTCGTGGTCGCCAATTTCTGTGGTGTCCGAACGATAATGCTGCGATGATGTGTTGAGAAGAAATCCGCTTGACACTGTTCTTGATATAAACGTTTATTACATCAAGGAATTCAGCATCAATTACAAGCTCTGCAGCAGCTTGGAGAGTGACCCAGCCCGATAACCACTCTGTCTCTCTGTACATCGAACACAGCTTATATAGACATGTTTAGGTCTCTGCTAAATACCATATAAGGGCACAGTGCTGTAGACTAAGTGTAACCATCTGTTAGACACCACTTCCCCTACCACTGTGTCTCTCTCCAGCTCTGGGTCAGGGGTCAAATTCTTATAGGAGGGTTCACTGTCCCCATAAGGGTTCACTGTCCCCAGCTACAGAGCATTATGTTAAACTGTAATGGTCAAATGCACATATGTTATACACCACAAAGGCCAGGGCTTGAAGTGAATGAGAAAGGGGCAATGACTTGCTCAAAGAAGACACGGCTCAGTTGGTGTCTGTGCCAGAGACTGACTTCATAAACATGTGGTAGGAATGACCTGAGGTACAAAGATGCACAGGTGATACCAAACTTGGATAGCAATAATTAGTTGGCTAACATCATTACCATGAGATGTAGGCAATTGTAATCATTACAGATAGATCATTTGAAATTTATATTCTTGAAGAGTGAAGGCACCTATAAAGCGGCACTTAACAGAATGCTTAGCTATCATTTTTCAATGCTGAGGTCTTACATGTCCTCTGTCTTTTCCCTTTCTGTGTTATATTGCAAATTGACCCAGTTTTGCAGGAGACACACCTCTAAAAACTACAGAAAAAGCATCAGCTTTGGACCATATTGTTTTTACTGCATTTGTCCAGTCAGTTTTTCAATGTCAAACCACTTGAGAACTCAGTAATCATTACAGAAATATATAATGCAGAATTATAATGCAGTGTAGACACTATGGAGAAGCACTGCATTGACTGTATGCTACATTACTGAAAGCGCATAGGGTATCCCAGGTTACTGTCAGGCAATTAACCAAATCATACGTCACTTTCTTTCAGTGGATTGGTAATATTTAATATATTTTATCTGGTTTTAAACATTTGTCTGTATGTAATATTATCCCCCCCCCCATTTTCTTCCGCTGTCATCTGAACAATCGGTTCACTGTTCTCACACTGTATGTCATATTGTATACAGTAGTATACAGTGGTCAACTAAAGATACTGGAATCACATATCAATTAAAATGTCTTTTTCCTCTTCATCCCTTCTTTTCTTCTCAGAAAAATGATGGTCAGTTTACTGTGATCCAGCTGGTTGGTATGCTGCGTGGCATTGCGTCTGGCATGAGGTACACATGAGAAGTCCACACAAACACACAATGTGTTACTGAACACATCATTAGGGCACAGTGTTTAGGTTTTATACTCTCCTTTCTGTTGATAAATGCAGATACCTTTCCGACATGGGCTATGTCCACCGTGATCTTGCAGCTCGTAACATCCTGGTTAACAGTAACCTCGTGTGTAAAGTGTCTGATTTCGGCCTTTCCCGAGTCCTGGAAGATGACCCGGAGGCTGCGTACACCACACGGGTAAGAAGTTTAAAATTTTGGTCTCAATTTCCCACAGCCCAAGCTGACGTCTTCAAATCTCTTGTTTTGTCTGACCAACAGTCCAGAACCCATAGATATTTTGGACAATTTGGAACGATATAAAAGCAGCAAATCCTCCCAAATTGAAAGATGGAAATGGCAAATGTTTGGCAGTTTTGCCTAATGAACAACTTAAACAATTAATGCCGATCGACTAATTAGTTAAATTAAACTAATTGTTTGAGTACTAGAGTGAGAGCAAAAGAGGAAAGGTAAACTGGAGGGCACACTGTTGTGTCTTTGAGGACTTTTATATTTAATCCGATGGGTATCTGTGGTACACATATGTACGTGCATACACACACAGACACAGACACACAGACACAGACGGCAGCAGCAGGTTTTAAATTGAGCTGTGTGTCCCCAGCTGAGTGGCATCCTGTCAGCCAGAGACGGGCTGCTTCCTTCAGAAGGAGAGCCAATTAGTACTCAGCCCAGTCTCCGCAACACTCAATTAGCACTGAGTCTTGCTGCTGTAGCGCCAAATATCCTGTCACTCACCTCTCACTGCCAGGCTACCTCTCTTTTTGCTCTCTCTCTCTCTGGCTCATCTTGCTGTCCTTCCCTGACAGAGCAGTGAGAATAACATAATTCACACCCTTCAAATAATCAGACCCTGAAATATCCCACCGCTGTGTTCATCAATACTGCATCAACCTAATTTCACTACTCATCAGCTGAAAACACATTTTCCTTTGCAACTCAGCAGTCATCCTGTGAACTTTTCTATCTTTGCAATAAAAGCGCAGTAATGAAGATGAGGGAAACAAGTAGAGGAATCTCCAGCCCCCCTACAGTTAGGACAGGGAATAAAAGAAAGTGAAACTTGGTATCATGAATGTGTTCCTAAATTGGTGTTCATTAGTGTAATTGTGGGTTGGACCACATGTGGCAGAAGGGTCTCAATTAAGTTCTGTCCATGGTTTCCATCTTTGTGTAACAAAATATGAAACTTTTGAATGAATTGTATGTGTGAAAGTGTTTCAATGAGCTTTTGTCAATGTACACATATCAGGGTAATTCCATCAAACACCACAACAGATGGAAGGTTGACATTAGATTTTATAAGCCTAGTTTCCTTTAAATCCACAGAGGTATTTGCATTATCTGGTAAATGTTCTTGCATGTTGTGCAGGGCGGAAAGATTCCTATTCGGTGGACGGCTCCAGAGGCAATCGCGTACAGGAAGTTCACCTCAGCCAGCGATGTGTGGAGTTACGGGATTGTCATGTGGGAAGTGATGTCATACGGAGAGAGGCCATACTGGGAGATGTCCAATCAAGATGTAAGTTTTATGTGACATTGACAAGTTTGATTTGACATTGTTGTGGAAATCGTTTGTGGGCATGCGGTAATGATTTTTGTCAGTTTGAATTTATTCATCCCACAATTCAACCACCATTCATTTTTCACCATTTGGGTGGTGCATGCACAGAAAGCAGGTGTACAATGGCAATGAAATTTTCTAGCACAACTGAGAAAACAATCTCACCAGAAGGGCCATTTAGTAGCTGTCCTGGACCCCTTACAGTCATCCCACATGATCTTCATCTGCAAGATGGAGTTTGCCTACTTGTCATGGAATTGTAATGTTCAGATTTATTTATTTATTCTCACTAATTAACAACGTATATCTTGTTTGTTTAATCCGTACAAAAACCTGAAGTGTATAAACACTAACTCACCATTTTACGGGGAGTTATGTGCCAGACTGGCAGTAAATTCCTGGAGTCTGATTTGACTGGCAAGAACCACAAAATAGTCCAGCCTTTAACCCACCCTCCCTATTTTTAAAGATTAAACAAATGTTATATTTTACATGTTAATTGCTGACTTTTAGCCAAGCTGGCTGTTTCCCCGTCTCCAGTCTTTATGCTAACCTGCTATAAGCATAATTCCCAATGCCACTAATACAATGTCACAGCTTTGCTTTACATTCCTTGGGAGCTGCAGTTGAACAGTTGAAACAGCAGTTTTCTCAACTCTTGTGAGTTGCATTGTTGAGACAGGTCACGGTTGGAGTTTCCTTCATGCTCTTGAGTACAAAGGGTATGTCATTCTCAAATCAACAACTTGTCAGCTAGGGTCAAGAGAAACTCATTAAAAAAGGATAACTAAAAGTTATGCATCATAAATAAAATTCTGTTAACTATCACGGATATTTTCTCATTTCAGATTGCATACAGTATTTCTTATTTCCTTTACTGGAGTGGAAAATCTTAGCACAAGGCTGACTGCATTGTTCCTTGGGAACTTTTGACATGTGTCTAACAAAGACAGCAATGGAGTAATCGAGTAATCTTTGTGAAGTGTTCGGAGGCCGAATGGGGGTTGATATAGGGAGGTCTGTGCGGGAACCTATTATCATAAATCAATTACTACAAAGTGTGGACAATGAGAATGGAGAGTTTTAGTGGAAACAAACTTTTTGTGGTGTAGAGAAAGGTGTGCATAAGCAATAGAGTGAAACAGGTGCAGTGCTAAGCAGAAATATGTGGCAGGGAAAATATCAAGCTGTAGACCCACTTTGCCTTAAACTTAAAATTGTGAAACTTTAATGTAAGTGAGTGGCTGTAGAGTGATGTACTGGTGGTCGCGATGCACTCAGCAAGTACCCAAATGACCCGCATGTGTCTGTTCATCAGAGGGGAGACGAAGAAGAGTGAGTCGGAGGAGAAGAAGAGGGTGATGAAGAGAGCGGGAGAGGGTAGCACCTACATCATAGTGCGGCCCGGAGGCCATTTTAATGAGGGGAACTGCAATCTTGTCACATGGCGACAAGTGAGAATGTAGCATTTGATTCAGACACCACCGACATGCACTCATTTCCCACCCACAGACACACACAGGCAACATATGCACGCACAGCCCTCCAGTGACCTCTTCATCCCCTGCTTCAGACCCCTCCCTCCTCCTTTTGGTTATTAGGCTGTCTGTCTCAGAGAAGTCTAGAGATGGTGAGCAGTGGAGAGGAGAAGACGTTTGATGTTTAATTGAAAGCGTTATGCTGGATTTTCTCTGATCTGCGCAAGCAAGTGCAGGCTCTCACACTCCTCTAAGCTTCTCTCTCCTTCTGTTTCCCATTTCTGCCCCTTTTCTCCTCGTCCACTCTTTTGTCTTTGTAAAATGCAATCTCTGTCTGTATTCTTTGTTGCCTCCCGTCCGCCTTACCTTTCTTTCTCCCACCTCGGTCTCTCATTTTCTTCCTCTGATCTTTCCTCCCTGCCAGTCAGCTATGTGTAGTTCGTCTCCCTCTCAGCATGCAAGCAATGATTTGATGCTGCGCCTCTCTCCTAACACTTTGGTGCGCGAGTATGTGCGCTTTCAAGCATGCGCATATATTGGAGCACTATCACGTCTGTCTTTTGTGTGAATTTGACACAAGTAAAGGCTGTCATGAACTCAACAAATCAATTCCCTCCAGTGTCTTGCGCTGGCAGAACTAGGCTGAGAACTCCAGCCTGCTTTCCACTGCAGGGTCTAACGGAGAGAGCCAGGTTTATTTATTATTCATCTAACTCGACACCACCACCACCACCCCTGCCGCATCTTTTACTTGCAGAAATTATCAACTGGGCTATGCAGCGTATCAAATAAACAAATAATGTTTTTATGATGTGTTACTTTGTTGATCCTCGCGGAGGATTCATTTTTGCGTGCCAACTTCGTGGAGGTTTGAATGTAGGGTCAGATGGAGTGCAGGAGCATCCCTGGAGCAAAGATCAGGATTTTGGGATCACATTTGAAGTAACATCACTTCTGCTGAAGTTTGTTGCGGTCCTGCTGTGAAAAAGATATCAGATGTTCAGGCATCAAAGAAGTGCAGATCAAATCGTGTCATCTCTTCTCTAACATCCAGGAACTTTTGAGCAAACTTTAAAACTGATTATTGCATTTTAAACTTGAACCAAGATTCAGTAACTGCACAGCTTTGATTCTGATTAGTAAAGGCCAGGTCTAACAGGGTGAGAAATTATTTTTCCCCCCAATTCATCAAATTGTTAAATGCTCGTGATCAGTCTTCCATATAATATCGCTTGGTGATGATGTTTTAACCATTGACAACTGAAAGGTAGAGCTGGACAATTAATTGAATTTGAATCACAATTTCCATTTTGGCTTTGTAAACAAGTTTATCGAGATAAAGCTTTTATTGTGCCACATGCCATTTGCAATGACACCTGTTTTGTCTTGTATTATAAATCCAGCGCACCCTCCTGTCCTTCTCTAAAAGCCCAAACTCACTTTCATGCAGACTGTTGCATGTTTACTTCAGCTCAAGCCAAGATGACAGGGATTATAACTGCTACAACTTGCTAGTCACCATCATTAGCTTAAGCCTACGGCATTTTTACGGCACTAACAAATTACATATTATTTATACTAAACCAGGTGTGTTCAGTGTTGATTTACCTGGTCTGTGCTTGTTAAATATCCACTTTGTCTGTGTCTTGTAACGTAATACTGGATTTATACTTTTCTTACTCACTGTTGGTTTAAGTAGCTGCATCTCCCGACAGCACACCGCGGTTGAATTTCAGCGTTATGTAACTTAACGAGTTGTCGTCAACTTGAGTGGTTCACCTGTCACCTGCTCTGCTCAACTCCGTACACACAAACACACACACATGCACAGAGCTTCCCTAGCAGCCCATCCACCCCACAAAGCAGTCAACCTGGGGAAACACTGCATTGCTGTCATCATCTTGCGCACTAATATGCTGTTTAAGTTAATAATATTCAGTTGCTATTTTTTTATTTCAAGGGCTATATGGGATTTTTTGGCTTATCCCATTTTGGGATAATGCATAATCATTTAAAAAAATTAAGCATTCCATTTTAAAAGTTAAGTAAATGCATGATGTAAATCAGCAATCATTTTTAATCATGATCTCAATATTGGCCAAAACAGTTGTGATTATGATTTTTGCCACAATCGAGCAGCCCTGCTAGATGGGAAAATTAGACTGGAGGTTTAGTGTTTTGCCACCACTTAAGTACATAATAACAAAATATGTTTTGCATGTATTCGTATTAAGTTTCATGTATTTTATTATGTTTTATGTTCAATCATGTGTTTCATCTTGCATATAAATTTCCACTTGGTGGGTTTCACTGCTCTGGCTTCTATCTCCTATATTTTTTGTATTAAAAACCAGGCATTTCCTTTTATTAACTTCTAAATGAGAGAAAAGGCAGATCCTTTTGACTGTCCTGTCTGTCTGCAGGTAATAAAGGCCGTAGAGGAGAGTTATAGGTTGCCAGGTCCTATGGACTGCCCTGAGGCTCTGTACCATCTAATGATGGACTGTTGGCAGCGAGAACGCAGCAACCGCCCCAAGTTTGATGAGATTGTCTGCCTACTAGACAAACTTATTCGCAACCCCAGTTCATTAAAAAAACTGGTCAACTCTTCACACAGGTATGAATTCACACCACAAAACATCAATATATCTATTTGGAATTTGACACTTTTTTTTTTTTTAAATATAGACGACATTAGCTTGAATACACAATGCTATTGTAACATGTTATGATAACTTCAATTAAATTTTGAAGCACTATGCAACAATTTATATTTTTGGATTTAAGCTGTAGATGGACAACCATTAAATTAATGTATAAGTAAGTTATCATTTTTAACAATTTTGTTAAATGTTTTAATGTATTGAATACTTCAGGAATTAATTCTCACACCTACTTTTAGTAAAAGGCTACTAAGTGTAATATTGTATTTATTTTTTCAAGACAAGATATATGTTGGCTTTTACTTTTGAAAATACATTGTGTTTTAACTGACCTATTCATTCTTAAGTGAATTAAACCCAGCGCTGCAAGCTAATAGACTAATTGTCATTCAGATGAAATGTAAATAGAGTCTCTATTGAAGTCTTGTGTAGCTGCATAATTAAATCAGGATGGGTTTAGTCACTAACTGCTGCATGCTGGCAAATTTTCTTAAAACTACGCATTAGTGTGAATTGTATTCAGTGGGGTATCTTTGGATTATCGTAACATTTGAACATTCAATTACTATTTCCCCACTATGTATGTGCATTGCATTAGTGTATAATGACATGAAATGGCTATAAGGGCTCTGAAGCAGACATTTAGTCAGACAACATCATTACCTTATTTTCTTTGCAGAGATAATGAAATAATGTGAGGTATTTTGTTCTCCTTTGTCTGTTCCACTGACACACACGGAAACACACTTAATAAATCAATGCCACATCTAATAGTCTAATATATGACTGTTAGCCAGATGAAAGGGACAACAGGGTCAGTCCTTGTTCCACATTACTCCTGTACTAGCTACAGCGTGGAGAATATTGTTAGCTAGCATGAACATTTCTGTTTGATAGTATGGAGAGCTCCATTTGTTAACATGAAGAGTGAGCTGAATGACAAAGAGTTTTGAGTGGACAGCGTTTTCAGCTTTGAGTGATGGTGCATAAGTAACATTACAATGCCTCACTGGTAACTGTAAGAGCTTTAGAGCTCAACCATGAGCTTCAAAATGTAGTTGATTGCAGAGTGAATCCCGCTCTTTAACATTTATGATAATGATGTGAAAACAAGGCTAGTGTCTATGAATTCCTTTAATCTGACAATCTGTCATCTTGACAATGGATATTATCAGAAATAATACATGCCTAATCTTGTGCTTTAATTTTATTACTGTCATACTTTTTTTCCTGTACCTCCATCCATGTAACAGGGTTTCCAATCTGTTAGTGGAACATGCCAGTGTAGAAGGGGACTGCAGCACTCGGAGCCAGACCGTAGGGGAGTGGCTCGACTCCATCAAGATGGGTCGTTATACTGAGCTCTTCATGGAAGGAGGTTACTCTTCACTAGAGACAGTGGCTCAGATGACGTCAGAGTAAGGCCACTTAACCACATAAACATAAACATAAACAAGTACTAGGACACTTGGTCATGCACATAGTCACACACAAGTTATCTGTCTCTGAGGTTTCTGCTGCCACCCCAGCGCAATAGAGTTGAATGGATTTTTGTTTGTGGAGCTTACAGCAATCCAAAATTATATTTAAAAAATTCAAAATCTATTTGCCACTCTGTATAATACACAGATCATCAGTTTTTATTGGGACTATTTCTTCAGTAGAACATGGTCCTTGTAAAAACTTTAAACAGACTGACCCTTTAAAAGTTAAAAACATAGTAAAATGACATGATTCAGAATGACAACAATCAAATGTGCAATGTAGTTTGCACTCCCACTCGCTGCAGCACATACAAAACTGCACTCATTTTTCATTATTACTTTTTTCCCCTTTTTGTTAGAAAAGCAATGAACATTGTCACAAAATGTTGTGAAGTTCAAAGCAAAAACTTATGAAACTCAGTTCCTTTTTATATAACTGCAAGCTTTTATAAAGATGAATGCATAACGCTCGAACCATCCAAAAACTACCATATCAGTATATTAAATTTTTTAAATTGGGTATCGACGGTATAAGAGCTGAGCCTTGTGAGAATATTATGTATTGATTCTCTTATTTGCAAGACTACTGTGTTACACCACCAGTAAAAATGGCATTAAAATGTTATTTGTCTAAAACATTACAAATAAACCTCTGTAATAGCAATACAAGACATGTTGATGTATTGACCATTTTGAATGATTCACGTTACCTGTTATAGGAAATGTTTTAAAGATTGTTTTAAGTACAGTCATTTATTATCACTTGTATCATCTCTTAAGTAAAAAGGGTGTGCTGTTTTTCAGGGATTTGCGAAGAGTAGGAGTGAACCTGGCTGGACATCAGAAGAAAATCATCACTACTATTCAGGAGATGAGAGTCCATATGAACAACACCAATTCGACTGTAAACATCTGATGCACATGTATAGGGACACGCGCACACACACATATATACATACACACAATATATGGACCTAGTATGTGACAAAAAGACTTGCTGTTGGACCTAGAGCGGCTTAGCACTTTCTACGGACAAGGAAACCCAGTGTTAAGGATCTAAACGAGAGCATCCACATTTTTGTGGTTCTTGTGTGTGGAGTTTGCTTGTGATGTCATTGGGGATATTTGACATTGCAGCACAAAAACCAAACTGAACTCAGCTGAGCGGTGCTACATGAAGGGAAGATGATGGTGAGCTTAACTGAACTTAAGTGAAAACTTTTCCTTCTAATTATTCAATTTGTGTGAATGTGGACTCTCTGTGCACTGTTTTGGTTCTCTCAGATCGAGAAACATGAAACATATGCCGCAAATCTGGCTCTGAGAGCAACCAGCACTTTTTTGGCTGTGTCACACATATGGGAGTTTCATGCAGCGTGCTCACACTGAACTTTTTCAGCCTGTCTCAGGTGATCTGAACCCAGTGGATCTGAAAAGTACCAACATTTTCTCTGGAAGTACATTTTCGTCAATCATTGAATTGGACACCACTCTCAGGCAGGTTAAACATGTTTTTATGGACCAACAGTCTTTGCTTTGCCATGCTGATGTGCTTTGGATTTTGCTGTTGGATTTTGTTGACCTTTTGGCAGTTGTAATCCAGCTGTACAACTCACGGAAGATTCAGACTCATATTCGGCATCATGTACTTCATTATCTTACACAGCAATTCTAGACAAGAATACATATTGCCACCTTAATTGTTTAAAGAGGCTGAAATTTAAAATACAACAAAGTCTATGACAAGGAAACCTTCTGGGTCTGGCTTTGTCTTATTGTGAAATGATACAAGCCTTTAGGCATTAGGATTCTCTCTATAACTGTTCTTCTGGCTGAATGTATAGCACTACATAGAGTGCAATGCTCAGTTGCAGGATCAACCTGTTATGTTTTATATGTAAATGCTGTCAAATAGGGATAGAATGTGGCAACCATTCTGGTCCTTAAAAGCAGCTTCTAATGCTGCAGAATATGTTTGAGATTCAGCTGGCTTTCCGTCATGTTTGCTCTGAAAATATGTAGGAATCTCCACTAAGATCCTTATGGGTTCCTACAGAACTCACTCAACTATCAACTCCTAAACCATGCACCATTCAAATTGGAAAAAGTGCTTCATACCGAATGCTTGTAGTGTTTTAGTGATACCTTCACTCAGATTCCCAGGAACCTTCATATAGGTTCTAGCAACTACATCACACATTCAAATCGAATCTTGCAGAACTATTGAGATTCTACTGGAACCTTTGCTCAGACCCCAGTGGATGCTTCAACCAGATTCTGATGAACCCTCACACAGGCTCTACATCAGACATTCAAATGGAGCAGTCACACAGGTTGAAATGGAAATGTCACGTCATGTTCAAAGGCACTTCTATTTAGCTGGAACATCCAATCCAATGGAAATTTCATTCATGGAAATTTATGGAAAGTTCAGTTGATCATGATGGAACATTTGTAATTGAACAGCTTATTCACATGCTCATGGAAAGGATCACAGAGTTTCTAGTGGGACTGTTTACTGATATTCTAATGGAACTTCAGCTCAGATTCTAATGGAATCTCTACTAGGATCCCAATGTAGCCTTCACTTGCGTGTACTCAAATTTTCATGGAGCCTTCACTTAAAACCAACGACCTTCAGGTACCGCAGAAAATCCTCAGCAATCTGTTCAGTTCACCAGAGTCTCCCTCCACCACATGTCTGCCACACCGCAATAAACCTCACTCTTACAGGACTGCTGAAAATAAGGAGGCAATATTGATCAACTTGATAATCATTTATTTATTTATACTTGTTTTAAAAAATTAGCAAAAATGATGTAGACAGTTTGTGTTTGATCGTAATAATCTCTCTTGGACTACTGAGCAGCTCTGCCTACATGTTTTTCATGTATATAATGTATTATATATTTAAAGCAGGGAGCATTGTTTCTGTCTACCATCATGTGGACAAGTTGGTATTGATCAAGCATCTCAAGAGTAGTAAACATTAGTAAATAGTGACAAATATTCTAAATCAGCATTCCTCCTACTTAGACCTGGGCCACTGTCAGGTGGGGGCAACCAGCACATCTGTCCCCATGTAAGGGTGCCCTAAAGGGTATGCAGAATTATAAAATATTCATGTTATGTTGATGGTGATTGTGTTTCATTTAAATTTTTGATGCAAGACCTAGAAATATTTTCAGTTGCCCTAAATGACAATAAATACTCTGTTGTCCATCTAAAAGCTGGAGTGGTGTGCACAGGGATTGCTATATGAACTTCTGGTATGGTTGAAAGGTATACAATGATGTCAATGTCAAGCCCTTACTACTTTGGTATGGTATGTTATACATTGCTACTCAGTGCTTTATTGCTAAAACTTGACCCTTTTCACATTGTGTTCACCTAAGCAGGAATTGAGTTCTGACAGTATATATATATCTTCTTTGCAGATGACATGCTAATATTTTTCTTGGTTATACACAGTGTACTGCTAGAGCGCTGGCATAAGAGTGGAAATGAAATGAGATTGTAAAGATTGTAAAGAGGTGGTATCACTTGACTATGAAAAGCATAGAAAAGCACACAAGAAGAATGTAAGGTTTTAAAGGGGTGTTTCACTTTTTTAAAGAACATGCTTTTAAATACTCAGATCTCCCTTGGAGATCAAGAGAACTCAAAGTGAAAGGCCTCATTAGTGGTAGAAAGCCCCCTCACTTGTGGCATTTAAGCCTTTCAACCTGCTGTCAAAATCAAGATCATACTTCTTGGCTGGTTTCATAAAGGAATGTGGGTAGGGAATGGAATTGTTATTGTTATTCTATATGGGTATATGTTTTTAAAAGTCGAAATATTGCAGTAAAATTTTGCTTGAAAGATAAACATCTGCATAGTCTCTTTACATCTGCATAGTCTCTTTACATTTATCACTTTGGATGTTTGGCTCCAGCTTATACGTTAATATACTATATTGTAGTTTTAATGATTGGGAACAGTAGCCATTAAGGAACATTAGATTTGTAGTTTAGCCACGGTATACTTTTTTAATTCGAGCAGGTCTTATTCTTGTCTTAAAAAATGCAACCAACTCTTTGGCAGTTAAACATATTTACTACATACATAACATATACTGAATGCAGACTATTGTGGCTATGCAGATCTTTAATTTAGCGGGGGAATGCATCAGTAATATGGTGCACCTTTTATATTAGACAATATAAGGCATGTACAGTGAAAGTAATTGTGCTGGGTGTTTTTAATTTACCACCCAGCATGTTTTCAATTTAAGTTTCCTCAGTCATATGAATACAATAACCATTTGATGAAGTTTGACAGTGTTTGGTCCTACCCAAATTTCATGGTATTGGCTTTTATAACCATCCTTTTCAACTTAAAACCTATGCCTGGGGCATGAACAATTGGTGAATAGTACACCCTTATAAGTGCCTCTCATCTTTCAAGCACCATTATTTCCCCCCTGCCAAAATGCTATGCCCCAATTGTGCCCCAACTTCCTATGTATTTACTTTTTGCCAACAATGTCTACAGGCAATAAGAAGAATGTCAGACAATGTGTATGTTGGAACTAATTTAATTTGCACTTTATGAGAAATCTGTTTTCCTTTTGTTTAACTAAAATGTCTATAGTTGACTTTACATTTAAAATTACTATAACTGTTTCCTTATGCTGACTATATCCCTTCATATTCTCAATGCTTCCCATGATGTAAAATTTGACAGTTAAGCACAAGGCATTGGTAATATTTTTGAAAACAAATCAAAACTATATATGGAAAACAAAAGCATCATTGACGTTGAGCACCATTTCCTTTTGTACGGCACAACGATACACCTTCAGAACGTAAGCACAGGGTTTGACAGTAATCTTTTTGGACAGTTAGCGGAAGATATGATTTTGTACAAAGATCAATAGCATTAGCCCTTGATGTCAACAAACTTCAGCAAGACATTTTGTTTGAGTGTTTGTTGCATTTTAGCATTACCACTACTAAGTACAAAAGTGTGAAAACAGTTATTGATTTGTTGTCATTGCAAACAACAATAAATATACAGTTTATAGATGTTGCTGCGCAAAATATGTTCATTAATTCAAATGATTTATTCTCAGCACTTTTGCAATGGCATGATTTTATCCTGGCCATCTTTTATTAAGCAATTCTCATTTAGCAGGAAGAAACAAAGCACAGCAAACCAGCAGAGATTTATTGATGTGTTGTTACTCGACAATGACTGTCAGCTGGGACTCAACCAGACATTGAAGTGTTTATGCAGGAGCCAATCTTTTAGTGTCAAATTTAAATTACATAACACATTTCATATAATATCTGAATCAACTTGTTTGAAATTGACTTTCAAAAGAGGGTAATCTAATTTCTTGCATTCGTACACATTGGAGTTGGTTGGAATTGGCTCTAGAATAGAAGCACTGCATAAACCCCTGGATATGAGGTTTGACTGAATTCTAGCAGATGTACAAAAGCAATATCTGATCATTAATAGCAAAAATATCATATTTGCATGGGGATATAACAACCATAAAAGGTTGTACTGACATCTGAGTGGTTTTAAGACACTTAAGACACTATCATGATGAAAATCATAGTGTTGGTGTCTTTGAAAACCTCATAGAGAAAGCCGAGAAGTGGGTGGGGTTATATGCGGGCCATGTTAGTAACAGTCCTAATGTTTTCCTTATATTCAATAGTACTATTTTTGACAAGCTGTTTGAGCATTTCTGATACTTATGACTTTTCTTTCCCTTGAATCATCAGAACTCCAGACAATGAGCAACTGTACAAATAAAAAGTCTTAGGCACAAGACTGTGTACATCAAAAGTATTGTTCCTGTTTGCAATGATGTTTAGAATAAGCTTAACTGATTTGACATCAATAGCTGACATCCTTGTCATGGCAACAGCAAATGAGGTGCGTGGGTATTGCAGTATTTTGTGATATTGACAAACCACATTAGGGTCGAACATTTACAGCAGATAAAATGATATTGAAGACTCCAGTGTTTGCGTGCTGAGTAACAATGAGATTTTTCCTAAAAGTAAGCTTTCAAATTTGCAGTTTGAAAAATGCTTCCTTTACCGATGGCCTCACCCACTTCACAACTGTATAGTTAACTTCTCAGGAAGTGGAAAATAGGTACATTTATTGGGTCGTGACACATGTGGTCTTAAGGTAAAATGTGCAGCTTTCACTCAAAGTGTCAACTTTCAAAAGCAGGTCTGCTGTTACTACTATTATTACTGTTAATGGTTTTCCCCAGGTCAAAGACAATGCTCATGTTATCAGTAACTCACACATAAGGTTTTAAACAACTGTTTTGTGATTCTTTGAAAGCACAGTAAAAATACTAGCTATTGATGTGCTATCGGTTTGTCTTTGAGACTGTCATGTATTATGTTTGTGTTGATGTTTTTGTAGTGTGTTATCAGATTCTATATTTTTGCAATAAAGCATTTTAAAAATCATCTTACGAGGTTTTCATTGTTGGTTTTGAATGACCTCACAATAAAATCTGTACTCTAATGTTCTGCTAATATCTGTTGAACGGTGGGCACTATATGACAGATTTAGCCATTTTACCCATGCCAGCAGCATGGCTTTAGGGACTATCTCGGTCTGTTGTCGGTCAGCCCACCACTTTGTTCCAGACTGAAATATCTCAACAACTACTGGATGGATTGCCATTAAAATTTGGTCAGACAACCATGGTCCCCCAGCGGCTGAATCCT